CCATTTATAATAATTGAGAATCTAGGCTCCACAATGCTTTCCATAATCAGCTTGATGAATTTTACGGGAAAACCTAACCTTCTCATCATACCTTCAAGAGTATTCCAACACATGCTATCATATGCTTGCTCCATGTCTATTTTGATTTCCACCATACCTTCATTAGATTTAGAAATCCTCATCTTGTAAATCACCTCCTGTGCTAGTAATAAATGTTCGGAGATGCTCCTTCCTTTCAGGAAAGCAACTTGTTCTTCAGAGATTAATTTTGGAATAACCACCAAAAGTCTATTAAGTAACACCTTAGCAACAACTTTATAGATGGAGTTACATAAGCTAATAGGACGGAATCCTTTAGGAGATAAAAGGTTAGTAATTTTTGGAATCAAGACAATAAGAGTTTCTTTCCAACTACTACACATTTAACCTGAGAGAAAAAATTCTTTAACTGCCTTACAAACATCAATACCAACACTGTTCCAATATCTCTTAAGAAAAGAGTATGTAATACCATCATGCCCCAGAGATTTGTTATTGTCAAGCCCTTTGATAACCTCCAGAATTTCCACATCTGAGATTGGATTCTCCAGAATGCTTCTATCAGTCTCGTCCAGAATAGCTACCGGTTCTGGCCAATTGTCCATACAGCAGGTCCTTTGGTTCCACTTCTTTTGAAAAAATCGGAACAAAATATTGTGCATCTTTATGGGATCTTCAGTGATACAACCATCTTCATCTTTGATTTGAGAAATCCTTTTTCCAATTCTTCTCGTGTTAGCAAAATAATAAAAAAATTTAGTGCTTGAATCGCCTTCCTTTATCCACTTAGCCTTTGCTCTTTGCCTCCAATAAGTGTTAAGCTTAGATAGAACTGAATTAAGCTGATTGACTTTAGACTAAGCTCCCAAAGTTTTTCATCAGATAACCAACCAACCGAAGCTTCTTCTTCTTGAATCAGAGAGATTTCTTTTTTCAATTTCTCCTTCTCTAAAGAGAAATCCTTAATTCTAGCCTTGTTCCAATAAAACAAGTTCTTCAACACTCTCTTACACTTTTTATTGAGTATCTCCATACCACTACCTTGAAAAGCCTTCCTCCAAACTCTTTCAATAATGAGAGATGAAGCTTTATATGAAATCCGTACATCTTCAAATTTAATCATCCCATTCTTATGAAAAGGATTATAAAAAATCTTCAAGACTATAGGGCAATGGTCTGAAGCTACCCTAGCAAGATGTCTTACCACAGCAACATTAATCAATTAGAAATTTTTGTTTGCCTATATAATAATCCTGACTGAATTGATCTAAAAAGTGTTATAATAAGAATAATAATAGAAAATTTAATTTCATTCGAAAATCTAATTTTTCAAAAATATAAGTTAATTTATAACTCGATTTAGTTAATACTATCGATCTCATGTTCTTTTTGCGCATACAAAATTTTAATATTATTATTGTAATTTTAATGTCTTATTATTCTTTTATTTTTCTTTTTAATATAATTATCTTTGTACTTACAGAAGTTTGAGTTCTTAAATTATTGATTTTTTAAATATCAATTAAAAAATGGAGATGTACAAGTATATAAAAATGAAAAGAATGCGTAATGGTTCGCAAATTAAAAAGAGGCACAAAATTAGCCCAAATATAGAAAGATGCACAAAGTGTGCCACAAATATTGAAAAGTTGCGCAATGTCGCCAAACAACTATATGTTCTTTCCTCTATCTTTAAATCTTCAATTTCAAATCAATCTAATGTTCAGTTTTATTTTGTATTAGAAATTGACTTAAATTAATCTTAATTTCATCACCTTTGTAATAATTCTCTTTATCTAATTATTTAGAATGTTTGATGACCTTGATATATTTATCTTGTCTAGGTTATATCTTAATTTAAATGTTATGAATCTTTATTTTTCTCTACTGAAAATTAATCTTATTATTGCAAATATAAACCAGTCTCTTTCAGGATCAATTATCAAAGGTTTCTCACATAACTTCTTATATTTTTTTTTTTGTTTTTCTTCTTCTCTTTTTGTTGGGGTAAAAAAGGGGGAGAAATAGTATTTTGCATTTGAGTGTTTGGTATTGTTTCTTGTCTAGTTTTTTGTTTTATTCGTAGTGTTTTGTTTTTATTTCTTGCTTTGTGTGCTCTTTGTGTGTTTTTAAAACTTAAAAAATTAAAAAATTTATTTTTTCTTAATATAAATTCTCTTATAATCACATGCTTATTCATTTAGGAGGAGTTAAGAAGAAATTTAGGATTCTCAATTTTATTCAAATAATAATTGTTTTATAATCATCAAAAAGGGGGAGATTATTGAGATAGTTGTTGTGCATGTTTGATATTCTTGCAACTTGTGTTTTTTTATGATTCAAAATATTATTGATTTAATTATTATTTCTCCTAACATAATTTGGAAGAACTATTTTGGCTCTTGTGTGTACTAACATTTTAGAGAAATCATATTCTAGATTATTCAAGACTTCAAATCAAGAATAGTTTAGAGTTTATTATAATCGAAGTCTATATTTTTTATTTTATTAAGTCTGAGAGTTTGTGATTGTAATTAAATAACTGAGAATACACATACCATGAGAGAGTTTTAAAAATCATATTTTTAAACTAATCGTACTATATGATATCACTTCATACGGGATGATCTGGTCAGTTATTTTCCCCAATGGGCAGTTGAACGAATAGGAATGAAAATTTTTTTCCAAGTATGGATCATACAGACGATATTTAATTTCATCTTAGGATGAACATATTTGTTCTGACCTCGAACAATAATCGTACAGATGATATTTAATTTCTTCCCAGGATGAATGTCTCTATTCTGACCTTGAACGAAGATCGTACTGACGATATTTAATTGTGTCCCAAGATGAATGACTCTATTCTCTCCTTAGATAAAGATCATACTAACAATATTTAATTTCATCCCAGGATGAACTTCTTCATTCTATGCTCACACAAAAATCATACATATGATATTTAATTTTGTATAGGGATGAATGCCTCTATTTCTATTCTCGTTCATTTCGTCCAGACGTCTCGTATAGGTAAACTTTGAAATTTTTTTATTCATACATGATGAACTTATTTCAAATGGGATAATGATCGAGTATTAAATGATTTCGTACCTATTTACGATGGGTTCATACGCAACATTATTTGAACTATTTCAAAGTACAAATATACAATCAAACTGTATGATCGTGTATGCTCAAAATTAAAAGCTTCAATTTTCTAAACAGTTTCTCATGTCTTTTGTATGAAAGGTCCACTAAAAATGACTTATAAATATCTTGTCTTTATTATTTTTCAAAGGCAATTGAAGGAGAGAGTGTTTGAGAGAGATTTCTTCCTAGTGGAGTGTGAAGGGTTCACAGGTTACTTAAAGGTAAGGATTTCTACGTGTGATTTGAGTTTTTCACTCTTCCTCTTGTCTTTCTAGATTGCTCGTGAGAAGATCTTCAGATAAGATCCAATTTAAAAGAATCGAAGATCAAGAAGAGAGAGAAAGTTCCCGATTTCAAAATTTTCATTCCCGCGCGTTTCTCGGCAGCGGGTGGCGCGGCCACACTACAACCTGCTCAAGGAGGTTTTTCATCCAGATTTCATCTCCATGATCAACAATATCCAGATTTCACCTGGATTGGAGGATCGGAGAGAGCTGCTGTCTTTGCTGTCGGGTAAGACAATTTCAGCCTTGTCTTTTGACAACATCTTGAAGTGCAATTATAATTTTGAATGTGTAGACTATTTTTCTTGGTTATTTAAACTAAAACTCAACAAGAAGGTTGAGATTTTCTGGTGGAGATTAGGGAAGGCTGCTATTTCTACATTGATTTTTCTGCATTACCGAAAACTGGTGCGGGATAAAAATTGTGTTAGGGGCTGTAATTGTAGTGAAAATTATGAGCACATCATGGTAACTTGTAAGTATTTGATTGATGTTATTAAACAAATACAATTGTGGGGTATTAGTATCCCTGTTTTCCAAGATTTGAATAGCTGTTTAAAGGAGCTGAGAAGGCTATATGTCCGAAATTCTGGAATTGTTAAACTGTACTGCATTGCTGTGTATCTTTCATGGAGTAATAGAAATCATGTGAAACATGGGAAATCTGCTTTGCCATCTTCTGTTACAGCTGCTAACACATTGGCATTGGCTAGTATTAAAGGAAGTCCATATCTCTCACGCTGGGGAACCAATTTCCTTAGGGAGTCTTGTGAATCTTGGTGCCCTCCTCCGAAAGAATGGATGAAAATAAATGTTGATGCTTCTTTGGCTAGATCCAACTGTGCTGGAGTGGGTGGGATTTTCAGAGATCACAAAGGAAGGTTTATCCTTGCTTTTGGAGAAAAAAAGACACATTGGGTTATAACCAAACTAGAGATGGATGTTGTTTTCTCGGTCTAAGACTACATTAGAAGTTGGATGCTAGAATACAAAGGCTTGATTGTTGAGAGTGATAATCTCAATGTCATTTCATTAGATTCATTCAAGATTCTTTCAAGATGAAAAAGCAAATTGTGGATAATCGTCCATTGGAGGAGATGCACTTCTTTAATGACTTTCATAAAGTGGTTTTTAGTCATGTTCATAGAAATTGTAATAAGGTGGCTAATATTTGTGCTACCATGGCTAGTAATAGGAGTTTTTTCTTTGATAGCTCTTCTTTTAATAGCATCCCTTCCTTGCTTTTATTTGCTATCAAGGAAGAATGTGATGCTATTCATTCCTTTCAATTGTAATTAGCTTTGCTTTTGCCTATTAATGCAATGTTTGCAATTCATAAAAAAAAAAAAAAAAAAGATAAGATCCAATTCTCTATCGACACTTGGAGAGTGTGAAGAGATGAAGGTTCTCTACCTATACTTAGAAGGTGTAAAAGGATGACGGTTCTCTACAAACACTTGGAGAGTGTGAACAGCCGAAGGTACTCTACCTACACTTGGAGGGTGTGAAAGGACAAGAGGTTTTCTGCCTACACTTGGAGAGTGTGAAAGGATGATAGTTCTCTACCGACACTTAGAGAGTGTGAACAACCGAAGGTATTCTGCCTAAACTCTGAGGATGTGAAATGATGAGGGGTTCTCTGCCTACACTTGGAGCGTGTGAAAGGATGACGGTTCTCTTTTGCACCAGGGTTTGGTGGAAGAAAGTTTTGTAAAGGCTTCTCTGCCTTGCTGTGGGGGCTAAAGGCGAGTCACTTTGGTAATAGTGCAATACCTGAAGTGGCAGGCTTCAGGGAGTGGATATAGGTGTTGTTTGACCAAACCACTATAAATCTTTGTGACATTTTATTTTTTCACTGCTTATTTACTTATTGTAAGTTTTATTTTTCGTGGTTGAAACATTTTTTTTTAACTTAATTAACTTGCTACTAATTATTATCTGGTTTCAATCTTTTAAATCCAAGAAGAAATTTTTAAAAGTACAAATTCACCTCCCATCTTAGTTTGCCTTGGGACATTAGCTTAGGTTTAACGACCTAATCAAGATTCAACATAATTAAAAAATAACTATGTTAGCTTCCCTAAAATTCTTTTCAAGCTAATATTTAAAAATAATACAATCTTCAATCGGATGACTTAGCATGTTGTGGTAAGGGCATTATTTAGGGTCACCCTTTTTAACTACATCCTTCGACCTCCTGGCCTGTGGTAGTTTGAATTTTTCTTTCTTCAAAAGACTTTTAAAGATATTCAATATTGACTCCCTTTTAAAAGGATAAAGTTCTATCAGCATATCCTTATAAGGGGTCAAGTAAAGCTCTCTAGAGGGCCGAGGGGCTATCTAGAATTTCTGCTTTTAAACTGGTTATGGATGGGGATAACTCAGTTGATTTATAACAGTTTATTTATTCTTATCCACTACTGACATTATTATTGCTCTCTTCTCAAATGACTTCACAGGCTTGGGAACCTTCTTCTTATTAGAAAAATCATTTTTGAATGTCATCTGATGAGCCTCTTCCAACAGGTTACTTGGTTTGTTAAGGGGCTTCTAAAAGGCTTTAATAGTGAACTCTCTCAAAAGAAAAGCAACATGCCCATGGATATTCTTCAGGAGAATCTCCACTACGTATTGCTCTTAAAGTTGGTGATAACACTTCATTAAGAGGATTCACCACCTCAGGATATAAGAAACCAAAGACTCTCAAAACTTTTATTTTTTAACATCATGATCACACACTGTTATATTCTGCTTCAATAAAGGAAATCTTTTTTTGGAATAAAATATTTAGCTCGTTAAAGTTCTCACTAAACCATTGGGCATATTGACATACCATTTAAATATAATGTTGGAAAGACTACTAATAAATTGGCTAAATAGTAGAGCATATGAACCTCCTACATTGCAATAGCTCACTAAAAAATGGGCAAGTTGCTACCATAGATTTTTAACTTTGGTTAAAACTTTGAAAGATGGTAGCATAAAGCCCTTCGTATAAAGAACTAAATAATATTATTTAGGGTAGGGTCTACCCTATGGAATATATGTGGCCCCTTAGAAATGGGATAAGGCCTTCTTTACCTGATTGTCAATCATATGTTTAATATCCTTTTGGCCTGGTGGTGGAGGAACTAAGGGAACTCACGAGATTGCTGGTTCAACAAGGGGAACTAAGAAGACTGCTGGTTGAACTGAGGGAACTACTGGCATAGACTCAAGAATTTTTAATCTGTATTCTAGTTTTCTATTTTGATAAATCACTTTCTATACTATAGGTTGTGATATTTTGGGCTATGGTTGTTGGGTTTCAGCCTACTAACTTTGTATGTCCTTAACACTTAGTAGCATCTCTGTAACTTGCCTCTCTAGATCTTTGAATTGATCAACCAGGCTAATCCATTGGAATCAAAATCAATACCAACATAATATTCTTTTTGTTTTTTGGGAAATCCTCAAAGGGACCTATACGTTAATATAAGAAAATAGTACATAGTCCTTAAAGGGACCTCAGGATCAGTAATGCTCATAAGAGCAATAAAATGAAAGAAAAAATTTCCTAGGAGCTTGAGTTCTCTACTACACAAAATTACAATTTAGCCCTGGTATAATCTATGTTACACAAGAAAGAGCACCCAAAAATGGGAACAAGTCAAAAGATAGCAACCATCTCCACCTTCCCTTTCAAAAAGCCACCATTACGAACACTTGCACAAAAGAGCATCTACAAAAGAACGTGAGAACATGGTGGAAATTGCATAATAAAAACCATAAAATGGCAGGGTGATAGTCCAAGCAATTATCCAAAAAATAAGTAGCATAAATAGAAAGAAATCAGTTAGCCTCCAACCAACAACCTTATAAATTTATCAACATCATTCACCATGAAATGAACAAGCACTCTCTAACTACCAGATAGGCATCATTGAAACCAGCACCAAAGCCATCATTAGTAGACCACGGATCATAATCCATAAAACCATAGATAAAGGGAACAATGATAATCGGGACATATAACCAGTTCACATTAAACTTAATAAAGTTAGCCAAATCCTCACATCCCTGAATAGGGAGCCTAAGGACATCTTCTGGAATTTGTTGGTATTCAAATTTAATAACTTTCTTGGGAATATACTTCTTCTCAGGTGATTTGGTCCTCTTTCCCTTGACTTTAATAATCTACTTGTTCTTCTCTTCCCCTCTGGTCTTTACTACTACTTATGCCAATTTTGAATGTTTTGGAGTGGGATCGATGGCATACTGGAAGGATGGAGCCCTCTATCGAATTTAGTCAATACAATCTCCTCTATCTTAGTAGATGGGAGCGAGGCATCCAATGTTATCCATCTACCAACACTAAAGTTACAGGTTGCCTAATAATCTTCTTATTATTCCTCATTGGTTGAGGAGTGAAAGTATGAGATGCACAAAGAGGGAGAGTGAATTGGTATTTTAAAAATAATTCCTAAACAAGAGTTCCATTTTTTTTAATTTATTTGTTTTTTTTTTCAAATTGATAACTTAACTAATCAAATGTGGAAGCTAATGATTTGAAAATAATTGCAATAATGGTGATGAAATTTTAAATCGCACAATGGAAAACTAAAATAAAATTTTCACCAAGGAGTTATAGCAAAATTAAATGTAAGAAAAGTAAAATGCAAAAAATGAAAAAAAGCACAAAAATTTTTTTATAGTGATTCGGTCAACCTTGACCTACTTCCACTCCTCAGAGTCCAGTACACTGGGATTTGTACTACTCAAAAGTGACACTCCTTTTGCTCCCATAGTAAGGCGGAGAAGCCTTTACAAATCTCACTTTCACCTTCACCAATGTGGCGGAGTGTTGGACGCTATGTCACCCACTCGGTGATGGAAGCAAACCTTCTCATTTTTTTCCCTGCTAAACAAGGCAGAGAACCTACGCGGACTTTGACCTAGAAGCTTCTCCCCTAGAGAACTTCCACAAGACTTACCAGGCCATAGTAGGATCAAGCATGCATCTAGCTTAGAGCAACCATAGGATCCCCTCATACTACTTCTCCCTCACACACAATCTCACCTTCTCCTTCTTCTCATAAGCTCTGTATCTCTTTAAAAAGCTTTCTCTAAAGAGTTCCTTCAGCTGTCACGTTCCTCTCTCTCTTCTTCTTAATGAATAATAATATTGTATATATAATAGGCTTCAAGAAATCCCAAAGATTTAAATTAGCCATTTCTATTCATGTAGTATAATCCCAAATCATACATTATGGTAAGTTTAAAAAAACTCTCATCCTAGTTAGAAGGAGTACGAACAAGCAATAATTTTTCAATACATCATAAATATGATACGAATAAAATCAAGTATGATCAACTTTATTTCTTTAGTTTTTATGGGATGAGCACTAGGATGATAAAAAATCATCTCTGTTCATCATCTAATTTGAACCTATTCATACAATATGATCAATTAAGTTTATGTAGGTCATCTTGTACGATGTATTAATCGTATAGAACAATTAGTTCAAAAATTAAGGTTTAATCAGCTATGATCTTTGGTACCACAAAAAAAAGACTGGTTTATCATACAATATGATCCAATTTATACAATACGAGCATCAATCATTGATTAAACCTTGATTTAATTGACTAATTATGGGGGTTAATTTTAGCAAGTTTTCAAATCTTCATACAACACGATGTGTTAAAAATTAAAATTTTTTAAAACATGTTTAAATTAATATGAAGATTAAGGTTTAGGGTTTAAAATAAATCATACAGTATAATCTAGATCGTATAGTATGATTAATTCACAGAGGCTTATTTCTAGTTAGCTGCTAAGCCAGACTCTCAATAATATATCACATAGTATAATATAAAATTGTATAATATGATCTACTTAAAATAATTTTTTTTTCTTAAAAAAAAAACTCTCCCCTTGAGTGTATGCATGGTCACTCAATCTGAATACACTATTTTGT